ATGAAAACCCAAGAACACTCTTCGCGATCACGATTAACACCTGTCATTTTCTTTTCTGCATTTGTCCTAACAATCTCCCTCATGCTGGCGTTGCTAGGCTACCGTATACGTCAGCGAAAGGCGGCGCTTAAAGAAAGCATTGTGCACAAGACAAGGCCCAACACACGAAAAATGACGAAGCAAAGAATCATGGAAACGAGATGGATGAAGGAAGATATTTGACCTGACGGGGATAGTCGCTGATTTACACTGATCTGTATGTACACAACTGAATTGAGCATTTGCTGACATGCCTTGTGTACTGCAATGGGGGGAAAGCTATTCTGCACCAGTGAACTCAGCTGATGTAGTGACGTAACACTAAAGATTCGGGTTAGGGTTACGGAGTAACGTCACTACATTAACTGAGTGAAGAATAAGCTCTACCAGGCAAAAGACCAATTCGCAGATACGCATCCATCTCTGTTGGCATAAATGTGTCTGTTTTAAAAACCTGTTAGGCACCATGAATATATATAGTTTCATATTCTTAGTTTCGACTTTCTTTTGGGCTTAAGCAAAAATTCTGGTCCCGTAAAGTACTCACCCTTCGCTATAGAGCCTCGTTTTCCGGATTGAGATATCGGCTTTTGAGCCATTTGTTTTGTCACTGATGACCAATTATAAATAAAGGTCTTTTATGTTATCTAAACAAACTGCATGGTTTTGTTAATGTGAACACCTGTAACAAGATTGAAGATAATGAGGCTCTATAGCCAGTTTGAGTACATTTCGGAAAGGTGTATTCATACAGATCAGTGCTAAACAAGGCGTTGGACCGAAACGATTTCAGGCAAGCAGTGATCGGGCGGCTTATCAAAAGTCAACCTAACGAACCTAAGTGAGACATATTTTTAACACAGAACACGTACTTCGCTACTATGATAAAATAACAATGTACCATATACCTATTTTATATACAAAGTATTAGCAGGGTTTAAAACTGCATCTTGTCATGTTGGACAATGAATACATTTTGTACGTTTATATACCAACAGTAGTAAGTCGCAAAGGAGAAGAGTATTTTATGGTAATTAATTCGTAATTAATTAATTAATTAAGCTATACAAGTCCCAAAATATAGTCAATCGAGATAAACTCAACAAAAAATTTTCGGGACATCAGCTATGACATTGTCCCAACGTTATATATTTCTTCCTTTTTCTAATTAATACATGCGTCGTGTTTCCCTTTCATCATTTGCCCGATTTTTAAGTAGAATCCACACGACTTAAAAATGATTGTGGGGGCTGCAGCCCCCCTCAAGCCCCCTATGCCCATGGTTGTGTTCCAAATTTTTGAAATAATCATTAACAGGCATCAACAAGATAAATTTTGATAGTAAGATCGCTAGAAACTGGTAGAACCAAATGTCATGGCTGTTTAAGACTGGAAACCTATTGGCGTATTGATGCTTTACATAAATGACGCATGGTTTCAATGGTCGATTGGGTGAAGCAGATTTTAGTGTCGAAATTAAATTTATCTCTCAGATTGGATTTTGGATGCCCACAAATAACTAACTCTGTAATATTCTGGAACACAGCAGTTAACCAGACATAGTACTACTACACAAGTGCTGTGCCGTGGAGCATGCGCAAAACAGCACGTTGGTGGCTTAAACCAGTGCATCGCAAGCACGAAAACATAACACCGCAAAAAAACGTCGGAAATTTGCCTTGCAAGCATGGTATCAAGTATTCCGAATGTTGTCAAAAACTCAGAATGAAAGCGACGTCGATGTTTTGCCTTTTCTGTGAAAATGCAAGCGGAATAACTATGAATGTGACAATCTAAAAACTAGAAATAATTACAGTCTTACATGTGCAAGAAGTAGTAGTATGCAAGAAAATGAACCAAAGGTGACTGTCGATAAATGTCGTTGCATGACAGTAAAGACTAAAATTTATGTAAAACAACATGACAGTTTAATATCAATTATTTAGAAACCTTGGTAATGTTTCTGAGAGGAATTTCAGATTCAAATTTGAGCTAAATTTCCTAAAACTGTTCTCAATTAAATTCATGTAAATAACGAACGATTTTCAAAGCGCAATTTTTGTAATAAAGGCAACTTGCTGCCCCCGCACTGTTTGGCACCCGTGGTTCTGTATTTTAGTAGTTCAGTGCACATTAAATTAAACAAGAAAATCTCATTATTTGACACCCATCTGCCTTTGACTTAGTCTCGTAAGTTTGCTTGATCAAACAACCTATTGCCGAGCATGTTGTTCAAATTTACGGACGAGTAAAGTAGAACAAATGTAATTAGAATGAATATAATTAGTATTAAGAAGCGTGCTCTTAGTTGCTTTTGGTGCAAATCAATTATTGAGAAACGTTAAAAGTATTATTCTCTGGTATAAGAAAATTCAAGTAACAATGCACCATTCAATCGTAGCATTGCCTAGGCCTAGCGCACTCCCTGGGCTCTGGGCTTTTTCACCGTATTTTTTAAAGATAAATTCGTGCGTTCTGCGCATGCATACATATACTATAGAGCGTTTGCACATGACGTCACAGCCGCCATGTTGGTGTTCCAATTCAAAATAATTTTAATTAGGGAGCGGTTATTATTTATGGTGGGGGGTGGCACCGAAGAGAAATGTTTTTCATGGGAAAAATTTTGCTGACCCAACCATTAAAAAGTCAAAAATTTGATTACCCAACCTCAAATATCAATTAAAAAATAATTACCCACCCCTGGCCAAAAACTATACAAAAGGATACCATTCAGTTGTCACCATGTCCTTTACCACTTCTGTGACACGGGTTTGATAACAGATTGTGAAATGTTCTGCCGTCTAAAGTCTCTTATTTTTCACCCTGCTCGGTTTCCTTTGTTCTTGTCGGGGAATATATTCAATATTCCCCTCTAATCAATTTCCGTTTAATAATCCCCTCTAATATTCACCTGCAATTAATAATCCCCTCTAATATTCACCTGCAATGTCTTTGCAGCACAAAAAATGAGAAAAAACAACATCGCAAAAGCAATATGGCATTGAGAATTATTTCTTTTCTGACTCATTAACGCGACCTCGCAGTGTGAAAAATAAATACGTTATTTTGAGGCACCTCGGGGATATGTGTTTATTCACCTCGGCGCTGCGCGCCTCGGTGAATAAATGACATATCCCCTCGTTGCCTCAAAATAACCTATACATATTGTCTGCACATGTAGTTTCTAAATTAGAGACACCATTTGTTTCCCAACAAATCGGAAAATGACAGACAGAGACTCTGATTGATTCACATATTGTATTTACATATGCTTTTTAGTCTCCAATATTTCAGTGAGTCATGCTTTGGAAATACAATAATTTTTCATTACCCAACCCTTGAGTTGTTTTGTTCTTCATTTACCCAACCTTTTACTCACTCCAAATTTTGTTTACCCAACCCTTTTCTCTTCGGTGCCACCCCCTGCCATAAATAATGACCGGTCCCTTAGTCAAGTACACTCACACTCTGGGACACCAACATGTCCGCCATGGCTTTTGTTGAGTTGGTCCCTGGGGAATGAGTGCAAACGCTCTACAGGGTGTATAAAAAAGGAGACCTTTAGAAATCATGCATATTGTTAAAATTTGAATGCTTTTTCAATTGCACATATGCTGAACCGTGGTGCGTGATATTGATGGAGTGCAGAAAAAGGAGACCTTTAGAAATCAACCATTGATATAATTTGAATCCTGGAGCACTTTGCTAAGCCCACAAGTGCGTAAGGCCCGTTTCATACGCCGTATTTCACATGTGCCGAATAATTAAAAACAATAGGTAATGAGGCATGTCAGCTCATTATCTATTGTCTTTAATACATTCGGCACATGTGAAGTACGGCGTATGAAACGGGCCTAACATGCGATCTACGTAGTACGTACAGTATGCATGACAGATTGTTCCCAGGAGCAGACAATCTCTTGTTTAAACGTTATTTCAATTTCTAAAGGTCTCCTTTTTCTAACATATGCACCCATATATATTTCACGCACTACGGTTCAGCAAATGTGCAATTGAAAAGGCATTCAAATTTTAACAATATAGTTGATTTCTAAAGGTTTCCTTTTTATTTATACACCCTGTACAGTATACAGGGTGTCCCCCAAAAAAGTGACACTATGGAAATTATCTCATTGTTCTTAAGCCGCTCTTAAACGCGCGTGATAACACGCCTGGGAATTTAATGAACTTGTAACAACAACAACAAAATATGTATTTCACTCATTCAATTAAAAATTTACATGAATATATATAGAAATTGAAATATATATGGCATATGAGTACTGACCGTCTATAACAACCATAGGGGCTAAAATCTAGACAGCCAGTATATTTTAGGTCGGTACTGAAATACAACACAAAACGCAACACAGACACATAATTATAGCCTATTCAATATAAAATAAAATTAAACTAGTATTTTTCAAGAATTTTCTCCTTATTCTTTTTCTTAAACTTCCTTAATGGAAGAGTTTTAGCACTTTCAGCAATTGAATTCCATATTTTGGTGCCCTGGAACCTAATATTAAACATTCCATAGTTTGTTCTAACTTTGGGGGTGAAAAATGTTTGATTTAAAGAGAATCTTGTATTATATTCATGTACATTAATTACTGGTTTGAAAAAAGTATCAAAAACAGGCGGTAAAAGTTGATCATGAAATTTTTTCACAAATACAGCAACATGGAAGGTCACCAGATCGTAAATTTTCATAATATTTAATACTTAAAGAGTGGGCTTGTATGTTCATAATAATTAGTAAAGGTAATGATTCGGATCATTCTTTTTTGTAAAATGACAAGTGGGTGGAGAGTGGTTCGATAAGTGTAACCCCATACAAGTATTGCCGTCGATTAAAACACTTTGGCATTTCATACATAGACTACAATACTAATTTGCACCATGTTGAAGAGGCCGTACGTGAGGAAATGGATGGCCGATTGCTGGGTTACCCAGGGCTTTCAAAATAAGCCGGCGGCCCTCCGCCGGTTACTTTGTTTAGTACTTGAATGATCAATCCTGTTCTCCTTCCTCCAACTCTAAGCTTTCAAACAAAGTTATTGTTCCTCAACTTGGTCTTAGTCTGGTCTATACATTATAGCCTGGTTATTTTCGAAAACGGAGTACTATTTCGTAAAATCGATTTAGTTATTTGCCATCTTAAATCTTGAAGTTATCTTGTTGAAGAATGAAAGTAGTGATACATTATAATTTGGCTACAGAGTTCAGTTGTGTTGCTATCTAATCAATATACACTAGTTTAAGACCCCCTAGACCACCCCCTCCCAACAGCCGCCTACTTTATCAAAACTACTCAGAATAATGCTGAAAGCCCTGGGGTTACCGTGCTTTGCACAAAAAAGTAGGGGAAGTACATGGCCTTAAGGTTCCACGGAATCTAGTTTATGCAATGATGGAGAATGTTGACTCTTCAGGACTGGAAGAAAGATTTTAATAAATAAATAAATTTAACACTTATAATGCGCTTTTTACATGAAAAAGATCAAAAGCGCAGTACAGTATCTACAACTAAGAATGTATACATTCACAAACATATATTACAAAGATATTAAAATATTAATGTATATTGATCATATATCAGTCAAAAGCTGAGGTAAAAAGATATGTTTTTAAATGAGCTTTAAAACAGGATGTTGAGACAGTGTCACAAAAGAGGAGGAGTTGGGCAACCAAAGCGACCAGTTAGAGCAAAAAGATTTATATCAATGGTATAAAATAATAGCCTCTAAGTCAAGTATTGCGTTTTTTAAATATTTTGATAATTAGTTTTAATTTTCTTTGAATTTTACATTAAACACAGGATAAAGCAGTATTAAGCCAATCTGCTATCCTACAATCAGCACCACATGTATTAAAAATCAATCAATTTGGGCTGCTTACCTTTGCCGATAATCAAGTATTCTAAGTAAAAACGACCAATAATTCTTAGGTCACTATTAGTGGTCCAAATTCTTAAAAACATTTTACCACTGTAAGTATCTTGACCATGCACAGATCGAATGTGGAGTTCTGATATCCACACATCTTGTCGTGACCATATATCAAGTGACATTGTATAGTCTGAACCCTACAAAAACTTTTTTTATTCTTAGGTTACAAAGATAACTAAAACTAATTAGCAAAATATTCAAAACACGCAATACTTGATTTAAGCCTACGCTCTACGCTCTTGATTTAAGCACTACGCTCAATTTTTGGTAGCGTACCACTTTTTGGTTCTTGGACTACCTGTACCGTGCCGCACCAAAAATTGAGCGTAGTGTAAACAGGGCTTTAGAGGCTATTATTTTATACCATTGATATAAATCTTTTTGCTCTAACTGGTCGCTTTGGTTGCCCAACTCCTCTTTCTTCCAGTCCTGAAGAGTCAACATTCTCCATCATTGCATAAACAAGATTTCGTGGAACCTTAAGGCCATGTACTTCCCGTACTTTTTTGTGCAAAGCATGGTAACCCAGCAATCGGCCAGGACCATCCATTTCCTCACGTACGGCCTCTTCAACATGGTGCAAATTAGTATTGTAGTCTATGTATGAAATGCCAAAGTGTTTTAATCGACGGCAAAAAGTTCGCAGACTCCAAGCATATAGTGGATACTTTTCCTTTACAAAATCTAAAATTTCTTTCCTTTGTAAGTTACATTCAACATATTTTTGTAAGTCGTCTTTTAATAAGCTCAATGTCTTCTTGCCATCCCTGATCGGCCATTTTGTTTATGGTGCCCTGCGAGCCTGCGATCTCAAAATTATATGGACAGCAGTAATTGGCATGCATGGGCCGTTGGCACGCCTGGGCCACGACGTTTTTTTGTTGTTGTTTTTTTTTAATGGCACACCTGGGCCAAAGGTATAAAATATTTTGCATTAAAATACTTTATGAATTAAAAAAAAAACAGAGTTTAGAAATAAATTTTGTTTGGAAAAAAATAAAAAAATAAATTTTAAAAAATATATATTAAAAAAAATAAAAAGATATCAAAATTTTCTATGGCACGCCTGGGCCACCATAGAGAAGGGTTTGGGGTTGGGATCAGTTTATCTTATAAATGGAAGCAAATTGGCGTA